GCAGGCGGCGCGCTTCAAGAAGAGGTGGACGCCTCAATGGATGACAAGACGGAGGAGGAGAAGGCCGAGGTGGAGGCGCGCAAGCGGGCGGCGGCGGAGAAGAAGCGCGCCGTGCGGAGGGTGCTGCTGCGCGGCGCAGGCTGTGCTGCGACCCATGAGCGCGTGGCGGCGAGGTGCGTAGGCGGCGCGAGGCGGACGCGGCGAACGCCGACGGCGCGGAGGGCGAGGCGCGGCGGAAGGCGCAGCTGCGCGAGCGCGCGTGCCGCTCGATGCTCGAGCGGCATATGGGCGCGGCGCGGCGCAGTTGGGGCCCCGCCGCCCTAGAAAGAAGTCGGGAGCCACGACTCTCTTCCCCCAGCGACCTCTCGAGAGGAGCACCCGTACTCCGCTGTATTCCGCCGCATGCAGCCGTGTTGGTAGCCCCCTCGTGATCCTGCGATGCTGCGAGTGCCGGCGCGAGGCCGTACTCCCACCCTGACCGCCTCGGCAATCGGCGTGGTTCACGACGCAGGCCTCCCGCCCGCCGACCTCGGCGCAATCTGGTGCCCCGAGATCACAATCTCGGAGGTGACGCGCCGGCCCGAGGTCGTGGCCCGCGTCTGCCAGCGCCAGCCGTGGTACCGCACCAAGTTCACGCGCGAGCACTCCTACAACCACACCGCGCGCACGTGGCAGACCTCGCGAGACGCGGCGCCGCGCACCGCCGGCGCCGTCTACCTCGTCCGCGCCACCGGCGCGGCGCTGCAGCTGCTGTTTGGCCTGCACGGCGCCACCGCGTACGTAGCGCCCACCCTTGCCGGCTGCGCGCTGGGCGCCCACATCCACACGCGCGGCGGCGTCTCGTGGCGGCTGCTCGCCGCCGCAGCCGCGTGCATCTCCGCCGCCGCGTGCGTCGGAGTCCGCGGTCTGTACCTGCTCCGGAAGAAGGCCGCCTCTCCGGGCGCCTTCCCGGAGCAAGTCGCGGAAGACGCGCTGGAGCGAGGCGCCTCGCAGGTGCGAGGCGAGGAGTCGCTTGCCTCCTCGACACGCCCTAGACACGCCCTAGACACGGCCTAGACACGCCCTAGACACGTTCTAGACACGCCCTAGACACGTCCTAGACACGCATGCGTACGAACCAGATCGCATTCAGCCTTGGTTGATGAGCAGGTGCGGCTGCTCTGGCTCGCTCCGGAGGCGGCGTGCCTCGTCGCCACTTTTGCCATCATCGATTTGCCGAGCGCCCGATCGCGACGGCACCGCGCGGTCCGTAAGACGGCCTGAGATCGCCCGAGATCGCCCGAGATCGCCCGAGATCGACGCCAGCCCCGCGACGCATAAATTGAGTCATGAGTACAGATTCATTATTCATGAATGCCCCGCCAGCCCCGCGACGCGCACTCGCGGTTTGCCCTAGGGTTAGCGGTTTGCCCTACGGTTAGGGTACCGTGGGGGTAGGGGATGGGGGGTAGGGGAGTCCGCCACCGTCAGCACTCGCGGTTTGCGCGTCGAGCCACGCACGGGCCGCCGCCGTAGGTGTGGGAGGCGCAGACCCGCGCCTTCCGCCGCGTCGGGCAGATGAGCCTCACCGTCTACGCGTGGATGGAGCCGCTCGCACAGCTCGCTCGAATCCCGCTCCAGCGCGCGTTGCACGCGCGCGGCATGAGCGTCGAGCGCGCCAAGCGGCAGCAGCCGGCCGAGCAGGCGGCGCTGCTCGGCTTCATCGTCGGCAACTACCTGCTCTGGATCGGCGTGCTCGCGGCGTGGTCGCGATTGCGGTACGCAGGCGCCGCGTCGGCCGGCCACTTCGCCGAACCTTCGCGAGATTGACCGAGATGACCCGAGATTGTGGCGAGATGTAGGCTCGTTCGAGTGGCTCATCGAGCGGCTCGTCGCCTCGCGCTCACAGATCGCCTCCAAGCGGGGTGGCGGCGGTGGCGGCGGTGGCGGCGGTGGCGGCGCGGCGGCGGCGGGAGGAGGAGGAGGAGAAGGGGGAGGAGGAGGAGAAGGAGAAGGCGGAGGAGGAAGAGGCGGCGGCGGCATTGCGGGCGGCGATCCGCCCCCGACGGGCGTGCTCTTCGATGGCGGCTGGCTCGACTGGGCAGTGGTCTGGGCAGAGATCCTTGGGATCATCTGGGTTCCGGCACTTGTCTTCCGGCTCGTCTTCACGGCGATGGCGGCGGAGATGGGCGACATCTACCACCAGATGAACTCGACCCACTTTTGGGTCTCCAACGTGACCGCCGACGACGAGCCCGCAAGCCACCGCAGGGGCCGGGACAAGCCGCCGCCGCCACAGCGGGCCAACCTCAACGCGCTGCTGCTCGGGCTCACCGTTGCCACCGTAAGCGCCGGGATGCTCCTCGGCCTCGCTTCGCTGGCCGCGCGACGCTCGGTCGCTCGCCGCCCGCGAGAGAAGGCGGACTAGCACTCAACTAGCACTCCCCACCCCCCTTTTACCTCTCTAGACTCTTCCCACCGAGACTCTCGTGCACCTGGGCCGCGCCTGTCTTCGTTGTGCCACACTTTTGGTACACGTACCAGGGTGATACTTATCAGGTAAAAAGGGAGTAGCCACATGCATGCCACCAAAGTTCAAAACGATATAGCTCACAGGTCTCTCACACTCGCTGCAGTCCCTCAAGCATGCTCAACGATATAGCTCTCACAGGTCTGCGGACTCTCTCTCACTCGCGCGCTGCACGTGCAGTGTGCCCCGCTGCAGCGAGCTGCACCGACCCCGGCTAGCCGCCGACCACACCCACAAAGAACCCTGCACAAAGATCGCACGGGCGGGGACTGTTCCTTTTTACCCATCTCACAGTAGAGAGGTGTCCGTTTTTGTTTATTTATTCAGAGCACACACACACACACACACTCTCACACACACACAGCCTAGCGCTTGTGGTGCACGACACGACGCACGGCGGCCGTTTTGGCGGGCTGAGCGGGCTCTTCCCTCATACGGCTGCCTGCGAGCCGCCGCATAGCTCGCGCAGATGGGCAACCTCCGCCTCGAGGTCGTGCACGTACTGCTCGTGGTCGACGCGGCGTAGCAGGCTCTGCAAACCCGGGTCGAGGGCGTGCCAAGCGCCTGTTTGCCGCTCGTTGAAATTGACGCGGTCCGCGAACCAGCGCTGCGCGACCGACAGGTACAGCACGTCGCGATGGCGGGGCGAGCGGTTGGCGGTGCCTCGGTGCGCGAGCCGGATGTCAAAGAGGACCGTGGCGCCGGCAGGAGCGGCAAAGGTCAGGGTGGAGAGCCTTCCACGCTGGTCCCGCACGCCGCGCTGTAGCAAGGAGGCAGACAGCGACGCCTAGTGGTAGCAGGAGCGGGCGACTGAACCGACCTCAACCCTTGGCCGCGCTTCGTCGGCCAGACAGCGACGCCTGGACAGCGGGGTCGACCGGTCGCCCGTTGAGGAGGTCGACCGCGGACGGCCACCACAAGCCGCTCTCGCCGGCGCCGCCGAGAGAATAGCGGAGGTGCGACCCAGGGATGAACTCGGTCGGCCCGTTGCTGCCATTGCCGAGCTCAAGGCTGGTGAGAGGCACCATCGCGACCAGCCCCGCAGGAGGCAGGTTGGCGCCGGCTGCATCGCGATGGAAGTTTGCATCGTCTCGAAAGAGGTCGTCAACGTCCATGTGCCACACCTGGTCGGCCGAGCCGGGCGACGCGCGCACCACCGAAAAGGTGTCGAGCTCCACGTGCCGGTGCCTCAGCATCAAGCCGACAACCTGTCGGAGCGCCGAGGGGCCGCCGCCGATCGGAGCGTCGAGCACGAACGGCGGCCGCGCCGGCAGCTTGAGCTCGAGGCGGCCGCGGTCGCGAGGTGCGAGCCGGTCCGTAACCGAATCTGCCGAAGCGGCCAGGCACACGTCCCCGTCGCCACGGCAGCTGCCGCTCTCCACTGCAAACTCGGCGTCCACGCTAGCCTGCAGCCTCTCGAGCGCCGCTCCGCTCATGGGAGGGTCGCTCACCAGCGTCACGACGCCGCAGACCCGCAGACCCGCGAGGGCCAGCCGCAGCGACGTCGCACTTGGCCCCGACCCTTCGACACGCACCACCAGATTTGGGACAGTGCACAGCTTGCGGAACGGGCCGCCGGGGGCGGTCAGTCGGTCGGGGTCCGCGAGTGCAGCGATCGCGGCGCGAACCAGCGCAGTGCCGCCGTCGGCGAGCGCCTGGGCGTCGGTCGCACACAGACGGGGCGGGGCGAGGAGGGACAGCACTGCCTCCCGCGCGGCGGTGGCGCTGGCTGCTCCGCCCAGCCACTCTGCCAGCTCGAGAGCAGCCTCGCTCTCGCGCAGCCTCTCGAGTGCTCGCCGCTCGACTGGCGTCGTGGCGCAGGAAGCACGCGCCGGCGCCGGGCCCTGCTCCTCCGCCGCAGACGTGTACAGGTCGAAGGCCGCCTGGCGTGTCAGGGGCAGGGGCTCGCCGTCCAAGTCGGCGCACGCCTCGGCGGCCTGCCGCGACATTCGGAGAGGGTGAGCCTCGCTGCGTCGCGTAGCCACTAGCGGCACGTCGGCCTTCACCTGGCACACACCCAGCCTGGCCCAGACGTGCGCCTGCCATGGGAAGAGGCGAAGGTGCGCGCGGAGCATCGTGCATACTGTCGCGCCGTCCCCATCGCTGTCGGCGCTGTCTGCCGCCTCGAGGAAGAAGCCGTCATTGCCATGGAGCTCCGGCTCAGATGCGGCGAGGGTGGCCAGCCCGGGGTACAGCTCTGAGTGTGTCTGAGCAACGCTCACCGCAGTGAGGGCAATGCGCGCCGCGAGCATCATGCCGCGTGCGTGATGACAAGTACAAGTAGGATGTGACCGCGATCTGCTCTGCACTGTCGGCAACACTCTGCAGGCGCGAATTGTGGGGACGCACGTCCAATATACACACAGGTATGTAGGGGGGTAACCTGATCGCAAACCTGATCATCGCAAAAACAATTTTACAGATTTCACGTTGTAGAGCGCCTCTACATCGCTCTACAACGCACGCAGTTCGTCACGCGGCGGATGTAGAGCTCTATACAGCTCTACAGCGCTCCAGAGCGCTCTACATCTCTACAGCTCTACAGCGCTCTACACTCTACATCCTCTACACCCTCCCTCAGGCGTCCCGGAGCGGTGGCAAACCCCGGAAAGTGGGTCAAAAATGACCACCGACACGTGTAGGCGCGTATCTTAGCTAAGGCTCGCGCCCTGACGTGTAAGTGCTCATGTGCACCGAGCCCATATACGCACCTGCATGTGTGGACGCGAGTATTAACTAAGATGAGCGCCCACGCATGAGGATGCGCGCCTGCGTCCAGGTAGCCCAGATACGCGTCTTCGTGTCTGGGCGCTTATCTTGAGTAAGGCTCGCGCCTACACGTGTAGCTTGGTATCTTGAGATGAGCGCCAATACTTCACGGCGGCCCCCTCGGGGCGCTTGCGGACGACAAGCGCCGGCGCGGCGCGCAGCCGCTCCTGCCCTTCCTTGTAGAGCCAAAGCTGGTGCGCCTCCACCGCGTCCCTCTCCGCCTCGCCCTTCCGATTTAAGAGCCGGCGCTGCGCCGCCTCGTACTCGTCCACCTCCTCGCCGCCGCCAGCTGCACGCGCGCTCGCCTTGAAGCACCTCGGCAGCTGCGCGACGCCGAGCCGCTGCTGCAGCTTGCGTCGTGCGCCCGCCACCTCCTCCGACGCCTCCGCCACCTTCGCGTCGCTCCGCGCCGCCTGCCGCTCCGGGCACGCCCGCGGCAGGTCGCCAAAGCCGCGCACGCCGCCCACCTCCGGCACACGCGACGCCGAGAGCGACGTCAGCGGCGCGCGCTCCACGCTCCCGAGCGCGTCGCGCCGCATCCAGTATGCGCCGAGATCGCGCGTGCGCAGGTCTGCGCGATAGACCCGATCCATCGTCCGGGAGTTGACCTGGCGGTGGCCCAGCACTCGCGCCGCGACGGCGCCGTGGCCCGCCGACGCCGGCTGCTCGCACGCGTCTTTGCGCAGACTCCACGCGCCCACCTTGTGCCGGGCCATGCCCAGCTGGCGCCCCGTCTCGATCAGGCGCCGGCAGAGTCGCTGCACGTCGAAGCTCTCGGTGAACAAGAAGAACCCCGTCGCCTCGTCGACGCCGGGGAACAGAGGCCGGTCCAGGGCCGCCTTGTCGAGCACCCAGCCGTCCGCTCGGCACGCCGCAACTAGCGCCGCCAGCGTCTCGTAGCCCGTGTCCTCCAGCTCGAGCCCGGCGAACCCGCTCGGCTCAGCCACCTTGCGACGCAGCGCCGCCGCGCTCGCCTCGCTCAGCTTCGAGTAGCACGCCCTGAAGCTTCCGCAGCGCAGCAGCAGGCGCACCATCGCCAGCGTCCCGATGCGCATCATCTGGTCCGAGTCGGGCGTGAGATCGCCGTCCCGAACTCGTAGCACGCGTAGTACTCGCCCTTCTTGCGCGCGAAGGTCACCTCCATTCGGATGAGGGCCTCGAAGTCGCCCTCGGTCATCACGCCCGCCCCGCCTAGTCCCCGCAGCAGCACATCCGCGGCGATGGACAGGTCGCCCATCGTCAGCGGCGGCAGCTCGTGCCTGCCGGCGAGCGGCACGGCTCAGTGGCATCTCGCCCCATCACGCGCCAACGCCGCGCCGTCCTACTCGCCTCTCTCTCTCTCTCTCAGCGGGAGATGCGCGCCAGTGGCTGTCCGAATCGGCCGCGTCCGCCGCATCGTTCACCGCCATCCCCGGCCGGCACCCGGTCTGCCGCGCGAAGCACAAGTAGGCGTTCATGATGAAGGCCACGTTCACCTCAAACGGCTCTAGCAGCTGCGTGTCCTGCATCTGGTACTCTCCCACCTGGAAGAGGTGCTGCCTCGTGCACGGCTTCGTCGTCGCCTCGCGCAGCTCGGCCATCGTCCGCCGGCTCGCCTCGGCGCTCGCCCTCTCGCTCGCCGCCCGCTGCGCCGCCTCGCTCTGTCCGTGCGACGCGCTCTCCCGCGCCGCCTCGCGGCCCGCCGCCCGGCCGGCGGCTCCTGCCGCGTCCTTCATCCCGCCGCCGCCGCCGTCGAACAGCGACATCACCTGGTTGGTCACCAGCCGCCAGTACTGCCTCGCGTCGCTCGGCATCGCCGGCCAGATCTCGCGCCACACGTGGTTCTTCATGTGCTGCAGCGCGACGTAGACCGTGTTCTCGCCGCGACCCGTGCGCACCGTCTCCTCCTCCTCCCGCGCGTCGCCCCGCTCGGTCGCGTGCCACCGGCTCGCCCTCAATGCTCTGACTCGCGTCGTCGCCAGCCACTTGCCGAAGCGGATCGTCCACCGCATCGTCGGGTGCAGACCGAGGGCCGTCCGCTGCATCGGCACGCTCTTCACTGCCGCGGCCTGCGTTGCCAGGAACTCGCGCAGCTGCAGGCGCACGCGCCGAAGCTGCACCGACAGCGCCGGCCCGTGGGGCGCTAGCATCGGCTGCTCATCGCCACGCGCAGCCTCGTCCTGCCGCTCGTCATCCTCCGCCTCGAGGACGTCCGCCAGCGCGCTGCGCCGCACACCCCGGCGCGCGGGAGGCGGCGCCGGCCGCGCCTCGGCCGCCTCGAACGTGTTCTCGGCGTCGCGCACGGCACGGGCGCCCTCGCCGTCCGCGCGGTCCATCGCCGCATCCCCATCCACGTCTGCGGCGCCGCCTCCTGCGCCCGTGCCGGCCTGCTCTGGGACGGCTCGCCACCGCTCGTCGTCCAGCATGTGCCACCACCGCCGATCCGGGTAGCCGTCGTACTCGACCTCGTGCACGATCCGTCCGTCCACGTCCTCTTCCCGCCCCATGACGGTCGCGGGGTACCACCGCTCGGTGTCGCAGAAGATCTCGAGGCGCGATCCGGTGGGCAGGACAGTGTGGCCGTTGAGCGCCGCCCTGACATCCTCGCGCTTGCGCTTCCGCCGCTTCGCCTTCGTCTCCTTGCTGCATAGCAGGGTGTAGTTCGGGCCCGCCTCCGCCACCCTGTCCAGCAGCTGGGCGGCGCTCGCCATCTCGACCGCGTCGTCCTCCGGCGGAAGCTCCGCGTTGCCCGCGGCCGCCTCCCGAGCGCGCTCGTCGCGCATCCGCTCGTGGTGGGCCTGCCGACGCGCCACGCCGGCGCCCGTGTGCCTCGCCGCCGCGTCCGGCGACGGCATCGATGCTGTCTGCCCGAGCGTGACTCGCAACTCCACTTTTTGCGGTCCACCGACAAATTTGGCTGCCCCCATCAAAGTTGACTTGATTCCTTAGATACATACATACCTGGAAAATACCCTGCGACCGCCTGGGTATTTTGTCGATTTCCTCAATTTTGCCTCAGATTTTGCCCCAGACCAGCTCTCAGACTCAGGGAAACTCGCGAGTTTCCAGAATGGAGCACCAAACACCCTCTGTTTTCACAACACGCCCACCGCCGTTCTCAAGCTGCGCCGCCTCGCGCGCAAAGTCGCGCGCGGCAGCGTCGACCGCACGGCCTACTCGCCCAAGTACTCGCTCTCTTTTATGTCCCACCATGCAGAGCGCATCTCTCTCTCTCTGTTGTGCGAGGCGTGAACTGCGCCATTCGCTCTCACCTGGCAACCCTGTCTGCACGTCTCGCGCGCGCGTGAGCAGGGCATGCCTCAACGCGCCTACCCGTGGCATGCCGCCGGATCGGGCCAAGACTAAGGCTGCAGGATTCGGCCCGGCCTGCTGCGAGTGCCCTCCCGTTGAGGTGTCCATCTTATGTGCAGTCGGGCTACATACAACTGTAGCGCGTTGGCAGGATCCCCAAAGCAGTCGTCCACACCCCCCCAAATTGAAGTCGACCGCCCAAATCTGTCCCCCCCCCCGCAAACTCTAAACCACCATAAACTACAGTCTGCAGGGGCTCCAGGCCCCAAATGACATGTGAGTGTTAGAGTTGTTTGGTATTGCTAAAAATCTCTCTCTGTTCCCTCGAAATTTCCGGAAACGCAAAGTGCTGGGGACCCTCTGTTTTCCTTTTTGTTTGCCGGAAAAGCTTGCCAACCGATCGAACTTGATTTGTTCGGAGGAGGAAGGAATCCGGCCAGCACGGGTACAAAGAAAGAGGGGTACTACCCGGAGAATCCCCAGCTGAGGAAACGTAGTGTCGCTCAAGAGGTGCGATACTGCGGGGGAGTGTAAGGTGCCTATATGGGCTTCCAGTATCAATGCGCTAAATGGAAAAAAAACATTTTCTTCTCCCTCAGGCAGGAGCCTTCGCCAACTAAAAAACACAGCACCGATGCCGACTTAGTGTGGGGAGGGTCGGTGAGCACTCACTCACTAGGCGGCGCCGCAGGGCTGGGGCACTGGCCACGGCCTCGCCGACCACTAGAAGGCGGCCCACCCACTACGCGCACTATCTTAGTGCGCGGGGTGGCAGGAGGCACTCACCCACTAGCCCGCTCGCCGGCGGCCCACTCACTACGCGCACTATCTTAGTGCGCAGGGTGGCAGGAGGCACTCACCCACTAGCCCGCTCGCCGGCGGCCCACTCACTACGCGCACTAACTTAGTGCGCGTGGTAGCCGAGCCCACCTCTCCGTCCGCCGGCGAAGGGCACTGCGAGCGGCCCGCTGGACCACTCCCCTCGCGGCCGGCCGGAGGCACTCACTTCCGCACACTAAGTTAGTGCGCGTAGTGTCCCGGCCTCCGACCACGACTCCCGGGGGTGCACTTCACCACTTGATCCGCCACGGCGCACCACTAGCCCTCGTCCAGCTCACAGACTAACTTGCGCCGACTTAGTTCCCCGCAGGCCCCGGGACCACTCACTCACTGCGGCATCAGTGCTCTTCACACGACCTGGCGAAGGCTCACGCCTCAGGGGTGCTCCATATTCGGCCGGGCCTCCTCGGCCCGGGGTACCGGGATGGGCCTGGTGCGGGGCCTCCGGAGCCGAGCCGGCTATGAGACGCCGGGTGAGACCGTGGCCGTGGCAGACCTCGCTACCAAGCTCGACGGCCTCGAGGTGGACGGCGAGGAGCCACCGCCATCGATCCCGGCGCCGCCCGTGCGAGGGCTCAAGAACCTGGGTGCGTGCGAGAGTGAGGAGAGGGAGGAGGCTAGTATCCCCGAGTGCGGCTCGCGAGGGGCGGGAGGCTGGCCGGACGGCGCACCAGAGAGGGCCGAGAGGCTTTGTGGAGCCGCTCGTGAGCGACGCTCCACCGCATGCAGGGAACACGTGCTTCCTCAACTCGGTGCTTCAGAACCTGATGGCGGCGGAGCCGCTCCGCGTCTTCCTGCTGCAGGAGCCGTCCGCCGGCGAGGGACCCGCCACCGTCGCCCTCCGCAACTGGAGCAGGCAGATGCACGACGGCAGGGAGAGCACAGTCGCTCCTTCAAAGGTGCTTCAGGCGGTGTCGCGCAAGCACAAGCGGTACTCGGGGCGGGCGCAGCAGGACGCGCAAGAGGTGCTTCGCAACTTGCTTGAGCTCGTGCGCGCCGAGGAGGTCGCACGCCTCAAGGAGAGCGAGCGGCGCGACGCGGCGGTCGCGGGTGGAGGAGAGCGAGCAGCTAGCGGCTCGCCGTCTCTCTCTGCATCGCTCGCCGGCCTCGACTGGAAGGCGCGGCGGCGGATGCGGGCGGCGGCGCGGCTGGGCAGCAAGTCCTCCCGTGGCAAGAGCGCGAAGGAGGCCGAGGGCGACGAAAAAGAAATCGAGCCGACCCCGGCGAGACAAGAAAAGAGACACGTCCGCTCGCGCAGCTGGTCCGGTAGCGACGAGTCGAGGAGTGTCGACGCCTCGTCGGCCCGCTCCTCGCACGCACGCTCCTCGTCCGCCGACCTCACGCCGCGAGGTGCCGCCGACGGTGCCGACGGCGCGGGCGGCGGCGGCGGCGGCGGCGGCGACGCAACCGACACTGCGCCCACGGACGAAGACGCGTCGGACACTGAGCGAGGCGAGGCTGGCGGCGATCTTCCGGCGGGCGGCGAGGGCGACGGCGAGGCGGCTGCCGGCGAGGGCAGCGGCGGCAGCGGCGCGGCGAGTGGAGACGCGACGCCTTCCCGAGCCGCCGACCCGACGACCGCGGTGGACACCATCTTTGGGGGGGCAATGCGCTCGACGGTCGTCTGCTTGAGCTGCCGCGCGGTGTCGACCAACCGCGAGCCCTTCCTCGACCTCTCGCTGCCGATCGCGGCGTGCTGTTTGGAGAAGGGCAAGGAGGAGGGCGGCAAGGAGACGGCGAGGAACAAGGGCGGGGAGGAGCAGCGGCCCCCCCCGGGGGGCGAGAAGCGCAGAGGTGGGGGCGGCAGCGGCAGCGGAGGCGAGGGCGGGGAGGAGGAGGGCGGCGAGGAGGGCGGCGGGGAGGGGGAGGGGTCCCAGGATAGCTCCGACAGCTGGGTGGTGGTGGACACCGCGACCTCCGGCGGCGACGCGTCTGCCGGCGGCGAGGCGGCGTGCGGCGGAGAGGAGGAGCGTCTGCACCCAAGCTACTCACTCCTCACCGTAGCCCCCTCCGCGGCGTCGTCCTCGCCGGCGTTGGCGTCGGTGGCGGTGGCGGCGCCGCCGCTGGGGTTTTTGGGGGGGGGCTTCTCGG